CAGCCAGGCACGCCGGGAGCTGTAGTCCTGCCTTTGTTGCTGCTCTGGCAGGATGCAGGATGCAGGATGCAGGATGCAGGATGCAGGATGGGATGCGGCATGGAGGATGCAGGACGTGAGAAGCGGGATGTGGGGTGCGGGCTACGGGATGCAGGATGCGAGCGGCAGCGACGAGGGCTATGGGCTGTGGGATGCAGGATCGGGGTGTGGGGATGCGGGATTTAAGGTGCAGGATATGGGATAGGGGTGCAGGACTGGGATGGGGTGGGGTATGCAGGATGTGAGATATGGGATACGGGATGCAGGATCAGGATGGGGATGGGGGGTGCAGGGTGTGGGATGCAGGGTACAGGATGTAGGATACGGAATACGGGATATGGGATGCAAGACCACGATGCAGCCTGGGGGATGCACGGTGTGACGTGTGAGAGAGGGGATACAGGATAGAGGATGCATGGTCAGGATGGGGATGGGAGGTGCGGAGTGCAGGATGTGGGATAGAGAATGTGGGATACGGGATGCAGGATCAGGATGGGGATGGGGGGTGCAGGGTGTGGGATGCAGGGTACAGGATGTAGGATACGGAATATGGGATATGGGATGCAAGATCACGGTGCAGCATTGGGGATGCAGGGCGTGAGATGTGGGATATGGGCTATGGGATGCAGGATCAGGATACCGGATGTGGGGTGCAGGATGCAAGGTGCAGGGTACAGGGTGTGGGATACAGAATACGGGATATGGGATGCAAGATCACGATGCGGCATAGGGGATGCAGGGTGTGGGCTATACACTATGGGATGCAGGATCAGGATACTGGATATGGGATGCAGGGTGCAGGGTACAGGACTTGGGATACGGAATATGGGATATGGGATGCAAGATCACGATGCAGCCTGGGCAATGCAGAGTGTGAGATATGGGCTAAGGGATACAGGATATGGGATGCAGGATCAGGATGGGGATGGGAGGTGCAGGATGCAGGGTACAGGATGTGGAATAGAGAATACGGGATATGGGATGCAGGATCATGATGCAGCATAGGGGATGCAGGGTGTGGGCTACAGGCTATGGGATGCAGGATCAGGATCCTGGATGTGGGATGCAGGGTACAGGATGTGGGATACAGAATACGGGATACGGGACGCAGACTCACGATGCAGCCTGGGGGATGCAGGCTGTGAGATGTGGGCTAAGGGATACAGGCTATGGGATGCAGGATCAGGATCCTGGATGCGGGGTGCAGGATGTGCAATGCATGATGCGGGAGGATGCAGGGCAGAGGATGCTCAAGGCAGGATGCACAATGCAGGGTGCGGGATGCGGGAGAGGGGATGCAGGACTCAGGCTGCGGGAGGCGCAGGGGCTGGGGCAGTTCTGCGCTGGCTGAAGCCCCCTTGACCACCTCTCCCTGCAGGGTGCCCACAGAGGTTCGCTGTGCTCCCCTCCGCAGGTGCCCCGAAAGCGCTGCTGGTGCAGGGGGGCTCCGGGTGCAGCCCCCGCATTCGCAGGGGTCTTCCCTGCAAGGTGCTCGAGGACCTGGGGGGCACGAAAGGACGGTGCCCCCACAGCCGGCTGGGGTAGGGGGGCTCGAGGTAGCTGCCCTGTGCCCAGGGCACCCCAGGGCCCATCCTGGCAGGAATCAGCCCGGTCACAGGAGATGCAGCAAGCGGCTTTGGTGGGAGATTAAACGTTCCTGCGGCTCATCGAGTGGCAGCA